GTTGCCTCCGGGGTCTGTCGCGCCCGCGGGGCGGGCGGGAGTTTGCGGGGGCGGGCAGAGGCGCTCGTGGCTCTGTCCAAGGTCTCCCGGAGTGGCCGCTCCGTCCGAGTGCTGTTCCCGCGCCAGAACGCTTCCGTTTGTCCCTAGGTAACTTCGTCATTTTCTGCTCAGATGTGGGTTTTTTCCTGTTCCTCCGCTCGGAAGTTTCATCACCGCTTCGATTTAAAAGCGGTAGAGGCAGTTCCCCGATGCAGGGAGACAAAAGGCAGAAAACCTTTTTTTTTTTTTTTTTTTTTTCGCTGTTGAGGGGGTTTTGTCAGTCTGGCAGGTTCTGCGAATGCTGTGCTTCCTTCTTTTATGCTGTCTTTGCAGAATCGTGGCCTTGCACAGTATAGAGGCCTCTGGGGCAGAAAACTTGGAACTACAGAAATATTTGTACATTTTTTTCCCTGGATCTGTTTAACTGTAAAACCTGTAAGGTTTAAGTGACGTCCCAGTGGAGGTAATGCAGTTTGTTTTGATGCTAGCAGGGTACAAAACAACTTAGTGGTAGCTTTCATGTTTAAGATAATTGTAGTGTCCTTACGGAAGGAATGGGAGGATGAAAATCTTCATCTGAAACATGTGAGCATGTATACTTGTGGCTTCTATACTTGACTGCGATTTGCATGTCACATTGTCAGCTGTATGCTTTGGAAGCCTTCAGCAAGGTTCAGAGCTTGCTTCTTTGCACACACACAGTTAGTGCAACTGCTCAAAGGGCTGGAGTGCTGCAGGTGCGCTCGGGCCGCCTGGCTGGGAGCGCGCAACAAGGAGGGAAAGGGTATAAGAGCCTTAATCTCGCAGCAGTCCTTTCCGTCCTCCCCTTGCACCGGTAACTTCAGCATTCTGTTTTGTAAGAAGTGCTGTAAAGAGCTGAGCATTTGTATGGTAAGTAAATCTTTAGGAAAGTAAATGCTTTTTTTTTTTCCCCCAGGAAAAGCATACCAAGTTTAGTCCTAGAAACAATCTACACAGCAGAATCATAAATTAATGTATTATCTCACTAGGTAACTTCTTTTTATTTCTAACTGCCTTCCCAGTGTAAGTCAGAATGCATACTGCTTCATGCGTACATCCAGATTTGCACCTTGACTGTCTTCTGAAGTTAAGCTGAGAGGATGGGAGAACAAATAGGATGCCCTAAATACCTGATACAAAGTTAAGCTTCTTCAAGCGTGCAAAAGCCGCCTTCTTTTAACTGTTTTTTTAAACTGAGGCTAAAATCGTTACTGGGTTTCATCTCTTCTGGGTATCTGTCAAATTTGGCATGTATGCAGGTAGAATGAAACTAAAGTCTCTGTGTCAGTTCTGGATGAAAGAACACCCGCTTGATTAATTTCTGTTTAATTTCCTTAAGAAATTCAAGCCATTTTAATCATACGGAGCTCTGAATCTTAGCAGCGGTTTTCGTTACTATTGAGAAAGACGTTAATGAACATACTTAATTGAAGTTGCTTAACTTTGTACGGACTAGAGCAGACTTCTAAAAATTACCAAATTAAAAAAAAAAAAAAATCAGTTCCTTCTAGGAATGGAATATGCTAAAATCTGAATTATGTTTTGTATTCACAAGGTAGCGCACAGGACACAGGAAGAGTCTGAACATAACGTAAGACCATGGCAGCACGCTGGAGAAGAATCCTGATAATATTTGTGGCAGCTCAAGTACTATTTGTGGTAAATACCTTTGAGGAAGAGGATGTACCCGAAGAATGGATTCTTCTTCATGTTGTTCAAGGTCAGATTGGAGCAGGAAACTACAGCTACTTGAGACTGAATCACGAGGGAAAGATAGTACTTCAGATGCGGAGTTTAAAAGGTGATGCGGACTTGTACGTATCTGACATGACGCTTCACCCCAGCTTTGACGAGTATGAGTTACAGTCCGTAACTTGTGGCCAAGATGTTGTCCACGTACCCGCACACTTCCGCCGCCCGGTGGGAATAGGGATTTACGGTCATCCCTCTCACCTGGAGAGCGAGTTCGAAATGAAAGTCTACTACGATCGAACAGTTGTACAGTATCCGTTTGGCGAGGCTTCTTACAACCCCGAGGAGATGGAGGCAAACCAGAAATACTCGCAGTCCACAGAAGATGAATCTCAGGATGAGGAATCTGTTTTCTGGACTATACTTATTGGAATCTTGAAATTAATACTTGAAATTCTTTTTTAAATTGATACACACTGGACTAAATCACACTTCAGCCTGTGAAATTGAACATGAACGACTTGCTGTAATATTTAATACTCTTTGTAATGTTTCCTGAAGAGGTATTCAGGTTACTTTTCCTAAACCAGAAAGGAAGTGGGGGAAAAAGCCATATTTAATTTTATATTGTCAATCCTCCCCGTATGTAAAATGAGCAGCAAGCACAGTATTTGCAGTGTTCTTCAGAGATCAGGGTTTAAAAATGGATGTACAGTTGGGATCTCATTAAACTCACTTTAAACAGGTGCTTAGGAAAATCAATTCAGTATTTTCTATCGGTGTTTTATAAAGAAAAGTAAAATAAACTGCTGCACTTCAGTGCCCCCTCTCAATTTAGAGCATATTCAAAAAGAAAATCTACTCCTTTTCTGAGCAAGTATCTCCAGTAAAACCAATCAGCAATGGCTTTCGAGTGTATTCAAGTTGAGGAGCCGAGGGTGAAGGAAGGAAAAACCAGTCAATCACCTAAGGGGAGAGATGATCTATATTTTGACTGCTTGTGCTCTACATCAAGTCAGCCATCTGTCAAGCAGAGGTCTGTCCAGTCACTCATCACCTCTGCACATCCATGACCTGAATCGAGTGCATGTTACTTCTTCACTATTACTGCAGGGAGAGTAAGCCTTCAGCTGTTGTTACTTGTCAATACGACATTTTCATTCCTCGTTAAAAGCAGCGCAGCATATAGTATCTTGAACCTGAGAGGCGTATTTACACCTCCCTTTATAGCTTTTTGTGATTGATTTTTTTTTTTTTAGTACACCTTTATGAATAAGTCACTAGCTTGCAAAGAAAATTTCTGCTGAAAAGAATTTGCGGTACATTGTAAGAAGGTCAGGTCATGCCCACTTTTCTGTGAAAGTTAGTTTTTCCAGGAGTATTTTTTGCTTTGGTTGAGTCTTTCAAAATAACCAGTTGCTATGCAAATAGTGTATATTTAAATTGCTCTGTAACTTTCTTTTCACAGAGCTTACTGATGAGTGCGCTGAAATAAACAAGTACGTTACTATAATTTTATACAAATGGTGCATGTACAATTTAAACTTCATTACTGAAAGCCTTCTCAAATTTTTAAGTGGGAATTTGGCTTGTCTATCTCTATCTAGACATCTGACAGGACGTGATTAGTCACTTGTATCACAAAAAAAAAATCATTATATAGCCAAAATTTAAAGTTTATTTGGTAAAAAGAAAAAAAAAAGTGGTATTGTTCCTCTTAAGAGTGGTTGGTTAAATAGCACCAAAGTGTCACTTTAATTTGTGCAGTTAAGTTTTGGACAGCAAGTTTTTGGGGGTTTTTAGCCCTCCTTGCTGTTTTTTCCCCTTCTTCCTCCTCTTCTGGGTACGGGAGGGTCTTTCTGACAACAATCACAAATCCAGCGACCTAAGAAAAGAAAGTTATCAATTATTGGGAAACTACTTTTGTTACTCACTCATCTAGTTACACACCTTTCACCATTCTAATAGGTGCTCATCTATTTGCAGTACTTCCTTTAATATAAACAACCAATGCTTTTCTTTAAAATGCAAGCATCTTTTCTAAAAGGTATAGAAAGCAGCATATAAAATTCACCTTCCGTTGCGGTCTCATGACACGTAACAGCTGGCTGCGCTAATCTTCATGGCCCTCAAGAAGTGCCAGCAGTGCTAAGGAGGTGGTTGTTAGGAAAGAACTTGACGAACTATGTTTGAGTGGGCGAGTTACATTTTCACGTGAGCGACCGCAGTTTGAGGTTACGGGCAGTTACTCAGAGCAGAGATTAGTGGCAGTTGGGGCATGTTGCTCTTCTGCCACAGGTACGGGGTCCCATTCCCCAGACCAGTGTTAGTTATTCCAGTGCAGTCAGGCGGCAGCAGATTAAGCTGCTGGCAGGGGTTCGTCACCAGACCTCGTACTAAAACTCATTTACTGAGGGAACAATAAAGGGTTGAGCGAAGCGCAGAAGCGTTTAACTGTTTATACTACAACAGCTGCAATCGTAAAGGCCGCTTTGGTAATTTTATAGTTTTGAGACATATGATCTATTTTGTTTAGATTCTGTCCTTAGGTCAGCCTGAAACTTAAATCAGCCACAGAACCTGTACTGAAGTGACAGCTAGCGCCAGTGCTTCCCAAAATGGTAGTGTGCAGTATATTTGAAGTACTGTAGTTACAGGGAATACTGTCACTGCAGAACTTGCAGCCACTGAATCCTTACTCATGAACTAACTTACCATGGATTTAGCACTACATGAAAAGCAGCAGTGCTACCAGTTACTTGTGTGTCTGGAGGTTGCTTTACACTGCCTTGCGCTGGCCAGGTGATATGAGTGACCAGGTCATTTAAAGGTACAGGCTGCCTGACATCTAGGTACTTCACTTCCAGCATTGATGTTTAAGAAAAAAATGGGGAGGAAGGAGTTTAAAAAGGCGTTTACAAATATTAAATTGAGCGTACTTTTTAATATAGAACCTGAAATAATAGCACAAACACTTTATTAATGTGAAAGCTATACTCCAGCAATATGCAGCAATACAGCCTCTTTACAGGCTTCTTTCATGAAAAGAGGTAATTATTCTCAGTATTCTGTGGATATGGAAAAAGAAACCAACCAACCACCTAGTTCTGAGCGAGTCTGTTCAGATTCTGTTGTAAAAGCCAATTATGTTTCCTATACAGGAATTGCCAGGTTAAACTGTGCACAACCAAATATACAGAAATAAAGCTTATTAAAAAAATTGGGTCCTACAGTCTCAATGCTTTCCTACAGTATTGCTTACTCCTACCCTTCACACTTGCTTTCAACTATTACTTCAAAAGCAATGCATATATTGATTCTGACAGAGAAAGCCCAGGACTCAGAGGAGGTGAGAAGGGAACAATTAACTCTTACTTTATTACCTGAAGGGATAGCATCAAGCCCCACACAAAAAGTGTGATAACCACGGTCACATACGTCACAGAACATCATTTCTTCTTCATGGTGAGGCTGCCCGCATATAATGCATGTTTTACACTCCATACATTGCCAAGGGTAAGTCTTAATCATAGCAACAAGCTCCGGAGTCATATCAAGGCAAGAAGGGTGGCCTAGATTAAAACCAATATTATTACTCTTACGTCTGAAATGAAATTTAAAATTAGTTAGGCTGTTTGCTTTTACAGAGGCTGAAGCTTAGCTCACCTCCTGGTGAGATCCCACAGTGCACTGAATATGCTAGTACACCTAACATTAAGCAGAGATGGAGTCTTAACGAAGGACAGAAAAGGCAACTCAACCGTTGGTACGCAAGCGTAGTACACCAGGTATTTCCACAAAAAGATGTCAAACACACTCCCTCAGGAATCCGCTTAGTGTATGCAGATACTCACCACTGTTGTCACACTGGGAGCAATGTATAAGAGCTTCAGCTTTTCCTTTCTTGTTGGACTCCTTACCCTTCAGACAAATTCCACATATAGCATTTGGAATGACCTTTGGCTGGAAGGGTAGAAGAGGGCTATAAATTCATTCCAGAAGAATTTACAGGTTTAAAAGGAAATGTCACGTATCTCCTTAACTCTTAAAATTAATGAGCTACCTGTTATGATGTGTGAACCTTAAAACACATGACAATAACTGACAAGCAGCGGCACTGAAAAAAAATCGTAGATTAACTACGTAAAATTTTGCATTTGGCACACATGGCGAGTTATATGTAAACCAAATTGGAGCAAAAGCATGTACTCGCTTCTTCCTGTGAATTCCTCAGCTAACATTCCCCTCAATGTTAAATTAAATGTGACATGGCATTAAAAATGTCGGTATTTTTTTCCAATATAGAATACTTCTTTATGAATCGCCATGCAGATTTCCTGTTTATGGAAGAAATGAAATACAGTTTTCCATGAGCATGACATTGAATACAGAAAATTAATTACAAAAGCAATAAACCTGATTTTTGTATCTTTAGTTTCAAAATGTCTGGTTAGCTACGCTGTACACGGCTGTCTGTTCTACCATTCTTTCTCGTATCCAGTCGATATTCGCTGTAAGAAATACACACCCTTGCATTTAACTGCAGTCTTACGTTCATCACCTTTCTAAGTGATCACCTGGAGTGTATTTGGGTCCATGAGATCCATTTAAAAGGCAAGAGAGAAACAGCAGGCTGTTACAACAGGTAACATTTGTGTGCGCATTCTGTGCCCCAACCCAAGAGGTACACCAACAGAGCTTTACCCCGATGAGAACCAAGGAAGGAGTAAGGCGTTACGGATCTCAGAAACATTTCAGTAGTTACACTGATGAGCTTTGACCTCTGCGTAATGAGATGAGTGAGAAACGCGGTTTAAAATCAACATTGTACTCACTGATGTTAAATCGACTAGTGCCAGAGTTTTAAAAAAAAATAACGGTGCTGCAAAGATGCAGCTAGTAGAGGGAGTTCAAGGCATATCCTGTTTTCTAAGGAACTGAACGGCTTGTCAGTAAGCAAGAAGCGTCCCAGTCAACTACCAACCACGTGGGGAGAAGCATGAATTTTAAAATAAATAAAAGTGAAAACAGAACTAGATACATACATATATATATATATATATATAAAAAAAAATAACCGACATCTCTTCCAGTACAACTTCTCTTTAAGTCTGTCTATTTCCCCAGACGGTTTTTTCTAGCACCTAGCAAGATAACTAATATCTTGACTTGTTTTTAAGTAGTCAGGACGCATTGCTTTAAGTTTTCTGAAATTTTCAATCTGCTTTTTAAGTTAAAACATGGCTACAGTCTGCTTCAAACTGTCTGGTCTGAAGAGTTTTATTTAAGAAAACAACACTGTACCAGATGTTTATAGGCAACTTCCTTCAAAAGATGACAGAGGCGTTCATACAGACTTTTTTTTTTGCTTATTTATTTTAAAAAAGCAGAGTCAACCTGTTTTATACATAAATATAATAAAACAATAAAAGAAGTCTAACATTCACAAACGTCTCTACAAAATAATAAATATAATGGGAGCAAAACCACACACAAACTCTTTTACTGTCAACTATTCTATGTGTCCTACATGTATACCTTTATACCCTGCTCCTCCCAACAAAAGTGGCACATGCTTAAACCTCGTCAGTGTTGCAGCATTTACCCTTCCGTTGTTTAGGCTACATTCTAATTTTTTTTTTATTGTGTCTTTGTCTATTTCTACATAAACCAAGCCTTTCTAGAATAGCAAGTGCACTT